CTACTCATTCAAGTCAAAGGAACCAAGCCAAGTCATTTATCTTGAAGATGCAGCACATTCTCAAGTTGGACAGAATGTATACGCCAGACGTTCGCTGATGAACAGAGGATCAAATCAACTTGGAATTGAACTAAACTTGGTATAGAGATATCCCTTTGAGTTATCTTTCCAATGAAATTCGAATCATATCATTTGGAGCTGTACTTTACAAGATACACTGGAAAAACTGAGGACATATCAAACTGCCTTTGAAGTGAAGTGAGTGCACAAGAAAGCCAAGCACCGGGCCGCCCATGGGCCGATGATCCAGACCTTTTCTAACCTTCTAGAAGCACCAAGGAAGCCGCTAATACCGGTCATGAAGCCCGACCGTTATTGTGACCGGTATTGCCTCAGTTTCGACTAAAAAGACGTTTTTGCCCGAAGAAGCCCTAGTCGACTTAAGCCTCCTTAAACCCCTATATATACTTGCTTTTAGCCTCTCTAGAAACTTAAGCAGCCGGTCATAACAGCCTAAATTAATACCTAAAAATGTATTTTGTTTTTCTCTTGTTCTTAATGCATATTTGATTCTAAAAGCCTTTAAGGATCGTTTGACTTTGCCCTATTGCGAAGAGATGAGATCTAACTCCTTATGGTTTGTAGATCAATGATTTATCTTTATGTTTATGTGCTTTACTCTTGCTGCTGCGTGTTGCAAAACATGTAAGAGTACTAGCTTTGATTTGATTTCTATGCACTTTCTTAATTCTATGTCTTTACATACTTAATCGTTTAGAGTTTTATACTAGAATTGATTCTTCATCTTTATTTACTTTCAAAGCACGAACTGGCTTAACTACCTAGTATAAAACTCTTACATGGGTAGTTAAGCCAGTTCGTGCTTTGAAAGTAAATAAAGATGAAGAATCAATTCTAGTATAAAACTCTAAACGATTAAGTATGTAAAGGCATAGAATTAAGAAAGTGCATAGAAATCAAATCAAAGCTAGTACTCTTACATGTTTTGCAACACGCAGCAGCAAGAGTAAAGCACATAAACATAAAGATAAATCATTGATCTACAAACCATAAGGAGTTAGATCTATAAACATAGAGTTTTATACTAGAATTGATTCTTCATCTTTATTTACTTTCAAAGCACGAACTGGCTTTATTTACTTTTCAAAGCACGATCTTAGGTTGATATACTCTCCAAAAGCTTGTTATATCTCCGGACCTAGTATTCGATGAGCTAGGCATCTTAACAATTCGATAGGTTAGTTAAGGAGTCTAGTGAACAATCAATCTTGATCATAAAGCATGTTTTCACCTTATAATAACCTGCGATAGTTGAGTCTATTAGGTTAGAAAACATAGAAGGTTAGTTACGTCACGACAGTGGGATGACCTTACATTAGTGATATGAGTTCTAGAACAACTAGTATTAAAACCCTAAATCGATTTCTTATGTTTGCATATGTTTTATGAATTGCTTGATTTCTCATCTTAATTGATCTATCTATCCCTTTATTTTATTGCTTTGTTATTTGTTTTATTTAAAACCCCAAAAACCAAATAATATATTAACTTAACTTAATTGGAATTATATAGGTTTGTAGTGCATTCATCACTTAGTCCTCAGTGGATCGACCCCTAAGTACTACAATTGTCTTTACTGTGCACTTGCAGTTTCCTAGGGTTATAAATTTAAAACTCGTATTGCATCATTAAAACCCTGCACATCAATTGTGAGGTTGGCTAATCTTCCGGTTGTTTTCGCTCGTGCCTGCAGTTCGAGAGTCGGCGAGGAGCTTCTTCAAGTTCGGGGTGAGTAATGAGCGGACCTTGGGTTTAACTGATCTAACTGTGCTTGGTAGTTTGCTTGAGCTGTAGTGAGAAGTTCCAATCTCGAATTGGTGTTTCGGGCTTGTTCTTCCTGTCGATCGAATCGTTGCATGATGACCTCCATCATGGCTGCCATTGGATCCTGAGCTTGTTGGGTTATTACGACTTCCTATCCGGCGGGCTCGGTTTCGATGATGGCTCGGATTTCTTGGTCGATAATGTTTTCGACGACCATAGGCTCTGTCTGAAGGTCATGATTCCTTGTTTCGGGCTCCTGATTGGCCATGCTGTGTTCGAGCTGGTTGTCCTCCATTTCCGAATAGAAATCGTGCGTTGGAGAATTTCAAGCCCCTTACCTGGCGCCAATTGCTGATACGTGAGTTCGACAATATATTTGTTAAACAGTAAGAGGCTCGGAAATTTTCGTTTATTGATAACATGCTCGGAAATGGGTTACAAGCAGCATACAAATAAGGAGTAATGAATGTAAAGGATTTTGAGCTCGGAAGCTTATAAGCTGACGAACCTTGTGCTTCGTAGATTTACTGAGTATCGAGATCGGTATGATCGGTGTTCTGAGGTCGGGGACTGAGTGATATGCAAGTGTAAATGAGATCGGGAACTGGGTGATAAGTAAGTGAGATCGGGAATTGGGTGATAAGAGCACTATGATCGGAATAAGTACAAATACTGCAAGCCGTTTTCTGACGAACTCTGTACGATTCTGGCGGAATGTACGGACATAATTCTTTTCCTTTTTGGGTGAGTTAGAGTCCTGAACCTTCAGATCTCTTGTACTCTCTCCAAAAGGTAATAACTGATGGTTAATAGAAGGTGGGGGAACCCCTATTTATACGAGATTGAGAAAGTACATTTATATAGGGTTTTCTTTGGAAATTGTTGGGCTCAGGCTGCTCCCGGGCAGAGCTCGGTGAAATGGGCCTTATTACTATTTATAAGGCCCATGCCCAACAATTTGTGATAAGCCTTTATATTGTAATATTCAACCTGCCTCAAATGCTCATCAAATGCATCAGAGGCATACTAAAGTTATGATCAAGCTCAAATTGGATTCATGCTAAAAACTGGTCATGAATAAAGTGCATAAGACATGGACCGACAAAATCGAGAACAATTATACCTCGAGCATGAATGATGTTGATTCCTAGGCCTTTTAGTTCAGTCCCGATGTCGCTCAGCAATGAAATTCCACTTGATGTTATGTGGAACGGGAAGGGTAGAGGAGGGGTCATAGGAGATTTTGCCACCTTAATGATTCTCACCTACAAAGCGTGAAACCAATCACATAAACGAACATTGTTGTTAGTTACTGCCATCTTAAAAATGCTTTACTTTTCATTCCATGAATTCGTGAAGCCTTGGCTTCAAGAACCAACCGGATGGTTACAGCATGAGCCCAGTTTATCCCCAATGCAGCAACAAGGTGAGAATCATATGTCCTAGCGTGTTCTTGAAATCCATCTTTTAGTTTAGCTGTTATAGAGGAAATATGTGATTGTGGTGAGTAGGAATCAACAAGGATCGCTGCATTGATAAAGTCAACAAAACAGTGAAAATATACTTCAGTTTCTGTTAACTGTATGTACCTTGGAAAGAATACTGACTAGTTTCATCTCGGTTTCGAGATCTAACTTGATTAGTCACTACTATAGGAATTCGCAAAAATTCAGCAAGCGATCTAGCAAATGCCATAGAATCAATATCAATCTACAGATGAAGTGCTGATGTCCAAGATTTTAGGTTACTCGAGACTACAGTTCGTACCTTAAGAAATAAATATGCCAACCCAATTGATGATGTCTCTGAGCTCCTGGTTTGTTTTCTCTAAAAGTTCAAATCACTTTATCAAAAAGAAAAAAGAAACTGAAAATGTATGCGTAGTTACTAAGATCACCGAGGGAACAAGAATGACATGAAAATGATCTGCTAGAAACAGAAATTAGACTGACCCTGTAAGAAGAGCTGTCATACTATCAATCACTAGAGGCAGCTAGTCTAAAAAATCAGCTCAAAGACCTCCAAAGGTGCCTTGAAAGTATGATCCAAAATCAACGCCAAGAGGATACGTACTTTAGTCATCATGGAAGCATGTCATCGGGGATGCCAATGTATCAAGGATCCTATTCTCCTGGATTCCTCTCTGGCTATCACAATCAAAAGCCAAGACCCCCCGCACCGGGTTTTCTATCCTCTGATGAAGCCTTCACATCTCGTTATGGCTCGACTTCATTTGGCAATCTGCGTCCTCGAACAACGCGAGCAAAACCACGGAGACAGAAGGATTCATAATTACATGTCAACCAATCTAAACGACCTACTCTCACATCATCCTCAATCACGAGTCTGTTGAAGATAAAAAAGAAAAGGGGAAAGACATCGGAATAATCGAATTTTCGATGACTAGCTTGCTCGATACACTCGGCAAGAACTCAGACGACGCTGTTCAGAAGACTGCAACTCAAAAATATCATCAACCTTCAAGACCAATAGCGAGAATAGATCATTTCTCTGACTCAAGTTCAAATTCAGAAGAAGGAGAATCTTTACCAAAACAGTTTGCTATAGGAGAGGGATCAACCACTCCAAAAGAAGAGCCTAACATCAACGAGGTCTATTCGACCGATGAAGACATGAATTATACACTCCCAAATCAAGAAATACCAATAAGGCAATTCGCCTCAAAGATCATGGTATTCACATTTGATGATATTCCTTTTGAAAAATGGAATGATCGGCTTGATGAATTTTATGCGTGGATGAATTCGGAGGCCATTACATCTCCTTTACCTATGGTGATGCAACAATTTACTGCCATGCTTTCAGACGCACTTAAAGAATGGTGGAATTCGCTCGGTGAATACAGACAGCAGCAGGTTTATCAGACAACGATACAGTTGCTTCTAGGAGAAATCCATAGAGAATTCATTGGAACGCCGACACATCTCAAATAACAACTGAAGGAAGAATTCTTTACAGCAAAATGTTGTTCAATGAAAAAGAGAGACCTAGCAAAGTACTTCGAACGACAGACTCGAAGGTACTATATTCCCAATGGTCTCAACAATCCAAGCCTGAAGCAGGTGTATCTCTCCTCCATTGATGATCATCTTAGCCAACAAACTAAGCTATACATCAGAGATCAACACCAGACGGTCGAAGAAATTTCGATTGGTCAGATCCAACAATATGTCTTCAGAACTCTCAACAAACTGTGCAAGCAAAAAGAATTTTGGATGGAGTTCATGGATAAATCAAAACATTTATCCAAAATATGTGCCAGGCCAGATCTATCGATCAAATGTTCGAAGTCCAAAAAATCGTGCTCATGCGATATAAGTGGAAAACGTCAAAGATTCAAGAAGCCATTCAAGAAGCGACAAAGACGACGAAATGCTTCCTATGCCACAAAGAAGGGCATTTTGCGAAGAATTATCCAAATAAACCTGCCAAGAAAAAGCAGTATCTGATCAATTCGATATCCAACATCGCTTCAGATATCGATCTTGACGGCCATGATTTGGAGTCGGTCATATCCTATGATAGCGACGACAACGAAGCCATTTGTGGTTACTCGGAATATGACAGCTTTTCCCAAACATCTTCTGAAGAAGAGAATGATTGTTGTTTTAAGATCATTAAGATGCCGCGACAAGAAGAAATACAAGCACCACATTTACCGGTGACAATCTTCGACCCAGCATGCAAAGAAGATCCAGTTCACATCATCGCATTTATCGACACTGGAGCCCATACAACAATAATAAATCTCAAGATTCTCTCGTCCTCAATGTAGCTACCATATCAACAAGAGTTTCGAGTTACAAACTCCGCCTCATTAACCATCAAGCTCAAGTCAAAGCCGATAACCATCGAACTTTTCCCAGGATGCCAGATTACTACTAACGTACTTGGATCCATTGCACTCGGGAAAGATCTAACTCTAGGATGGGATTCATATTCGATGTTAAAAAGGAACTTTGATATTTCAATCGAACCAAGAGGAATAAGATGGAAGGCTCTATACAAAGCCTTTACAACGATACCGCGACTATTCCCAGTTGAAGAATTTATGTCTGCCGAGTTCAACAAAATCAAGGAAGAGATGACAACAAAGTCATATGCTGATTGTCATACAGATTTCCTCCAAAAGTGCTAAAATCCACTTTGGTCAACAAGGACTTCTTTGTTTCTTTGCCATTCAAAGAAGACGTTCACACCACTCCAACAAAAGCAAGTCATGCAGGAATGCCACCTACCCTGTTACTACAGGCAAATGAAGAATGTGATCAACTAGTAGATCAAGGAATTGTTTCGGCAACTAATTCCCCATGGGCATGCAAAGCGTTCTATGTCAACAACCGTGCCGAACAGGCAAGAGGAAAGCTCAGACTAGTCATTGACTACAAACCCCTCAACCAATATCTACAAGATGTCAAATTTCCATTACCAAACAAAAGAGCACTTCTCCAACATCTTC